GTGAAAGGCAAAACAGCTTCAAAACGTTATGGATCAACAAAGTAAACTAAATCTGACACAAGCCCACTCAATGTACTTTAAATTTAGAAGCTGTTTTTCAACATTAATGAGTGTGGTTGTATTTGCGCAGAAGCTCTCCCAATAGAGTCACTTGGCCCCAAACGTGGTAGGATGAATGGTTTTGTGATTTCCTGAAGGGCCACCGTCATCTCAGCTGTTTGGCCACAAACCTCAAACGTTGCTGCCCTCTTTACAGCCCAGCAAAAGCATCTCCTAGTTCCTTCAAAAATCAGAAACTTCTTAGATGCTAACACAAAGTGAACACTATGCTACCTATTAATGCTCTTCTCCAGTTGGCCTCTGCTCCGGTAGGAGTGAAAACTTGATATACTTTATACATGTTATTTTTATTTATATCATATATATATCTATATAATATAGATAATATAATATATTACATATATTTAAAAATATCAAAGTATCAAAATAAATGCTTACAGCAACACAGCTCAGATTTCTGTATTCTTTGAAAGGAAGAACAATGTTTCAGCTTTAAAATCTCCCATGCTTGGCAGCGTTTGTAGTAAAGTCTGACCAAGGACTGGGATCTGTTTCCATCCTGCAAACACAGCAGATAAACAACCGCCCTGGGTTGTACACTGCTTTCAGCAGTACTGCCACTGCGCTCAGCAAAAACCACCTTGCGTTCTGCAGAGTCAGACTATTTCCCCACTGGATGGGCAATTCTGACTGTCTCTCACTTTTGTATTTCTGTAATGTCCCCTTGCTTTGCATTATTCTTATAAGCATCTTTTTTTCTTTAAAAAAGTCTCTGGCATTCTCTGAATCTCACCTAAATTTAAATTAGGGTTGAGGACAGTAAGATCTATAAAGAAAACTGAAAAGACAATGCCTTGGGAAACATTCTGGTGACATATATTACTACTATAACATAAATCATTACAGAAAGAAAACAAATGTACTCCAGCAGCTTATTTTTTAAATTTTAACATGTGATAAATAATGTTGCAGGGCTTAGGTAATTCACAGCAATATCCAGATAACGATATTACCTATTACTTCTACTTCAGATGATATCAGTCTTGTAATTCCACATACTTTTAGTGACATCTTTTCAGATCTCTGTCTATTCCTTTGATGGGTGATGAAGAAAACCATATGTGCAGATCCATATAGCAATGAACTTTCTAAGCCAAACACAAGAACAGAAGCGTTTCTAGGAGAGAGTGGCTTGCCAAGACAAACAAGTTCTGCCAACATTTTAACACCACAGAAGGTCAGTTAGGTTATAATTAAGTCTAATTACCATTCTCATGAATTGCAACATCTTTTCACATGAAGGCGCTTAGTGCTCAGAAAAGGATGAATTTTTATTTTATCTTTTCCAAGCAGCACAGTAATGAGACATTGTAATCTTGGCTTTAAACCTGAATCATCACTTACCATCATAAAGAAAAAAGGCATGTCATCATTAAAAGGAAGAGATTTTTGCAGTTTATTGAACCACTAATACTTCCTCACTCCTGCTTTTCCCTATTCCTCTGCAGTAATTTTACAGGTTTTTTTCTCTTCTGTTCAGTACCACTCCTTTTTTTTTCATTATTCCACATTTTCTTTTTTCCTTCTCACAGCTTCATAACCTTTCTGCTTCCTTTTTCGCTTTAGCTCCCTATTTTTAATCCTCTGTATAACTTCAGATCTTCCTCTCTGCTCCCCCAGCAAGCTGGAGAATCTGATGGTAGCAGACTTTCTTCTGTTTCCGCAGGCATGCTGTGATTGCTGCGTTAGACAGAATTGCATTGGGAAACGGCCTGAGCTTATCCCATCGAGGGAAAAGGTGAGATAAAAATTGGTGAAGCAAAGAGATTTTTTTCTCGCCCTTTCTTTTTCCCAACAGGCCAGTAGAAAGCGAGAGAGGAAAAAACCAGGAGCCGTTTGGCTGCTTCTCCTCTATCAGGAGTGCAAAACCTGGTGCATACTTGTCCTGGTCTCATTCAAATGAGAAAGCTGCTGAAAAGCCTGGGCTATCAAGGTCACCCAGCTCACAGGGGAAACCCTTCAGCACCCTCAGGTCTAGCTGGGGGCTGCAGTTTGCTAGTTGGCATCAGCTGCTGTTGCCCATGGCCATCCCATACCCATGGGGAAAAAGCACCTCTCAAGTGCTAGGGTGGTCCTCCAGTAAAATGATCATTTGACCTCTCTGGAGGCTGGCAAAGCATCAAGGGCTATTTGGTTTTAGACTCAAATAACGAACCTGGAAAATGGGAAGAACTGGTCAGCTTGTAGCACGGAGGTTGACAAAGACCCCCACGCGTCGGCAGCGCTATCAAAGGCAGCCACGTGCCTCCGTCCACCGTTGCTCTTCGTGCGAAGCATCACTCCGACTCTAGCTCTCTTGCTGCGATGCCGCTCTTAAAGCCGTCAGGAAGGGCAGTATGCAATTAGCCTGGTCCTGCCCCCCGCACCCTGCATGCCTTACTCCCTCTCATCCGTGCTCTCTTCACTAACTCATCTCGACTAAAAGAAGGAGGCATGTCTTTGTGAAAGTCACCTTGTGCCTCAGCGAAGAGAGGAGCGCTGCCTGTGGGCTGCCTGCTACTTCCATTTTATTTTTTAAACGGAACATATAAGGCTATCGCAGAAGCAGGGCTTTCTAAGCACAGGAACCCCCACAAAACAGTAACTGTTGTTCACTATGTTTTATTTCCTCCAAGTAAAATTTTGTTATTTCTCCCTGACCTTACTGCTTGAAACAGAAATTTATTCTCCTGGTGAAGAATTCCACATACCAGAAAAGATGATTCTGCACTCTGAGGCAACTACTACCTCTTAAAATAGGAATGACTTACAAAATTAGTTTAATTTTCCCTTGCACATCAAAAGTCTAGATATGTAACAAAAAATCTTTCACTGAATGCTTTCTAACATTTTTCTTTAAAAGTTATCAAACAAAATTTCACTAAAATAAATCCAGTATTTTCCTGTCATAGGCTAAAGCCTCACAGAGTTGTGCTCTCACACTGCGAATAGTCTCTTAATAAATAAAAATGACAGTTTTAGTTATCATATGGTACTTCAAGTTCCACCTGTCCTACAGGAGATTCACATGCCAGCAGGGAATTAAGATGCCACTTCACTTAGCAACCCTTATGTCATGCAAAGCTTTTTATTGTAGGTGGGTCAAAACATAAACCCACAGCACCCTTTTGTTTACTTCCAATTATATTAATCTCTCACATCGCTAAGATTAACTTATCCTCCCACATATTATTCACACCTGTAGCCCTACAAAAACATGTAGACTGAAATCCTTAACCCACTAAAGTTGCTGGGGATTTTGCAGTGGACTTCCAGAGCTTGGATTTTAGTTTCCTTTCCCCAGCTAATATATTATTTCTTTGATTACTTTAAATCCAGTTGTTTCTTTTTCCGATCTTGCTGGGTTAAAAACACGCCTGAGGTGTAAAAGGATTAAGCTGTTTTTCTGTAATTTACAATGGTGCAAGATGGTTCCAGCACATTTGAGGCTAGAACGGTGTCTACGGTTATGTTTGCTTGGCAGTTCAGCATCTTAGAACTATCCCTGTTAAGTCCACAACATTCAAATTGTCTGTTGCTGAAATAAACCCTCACAACCTGCTGCTGTATATACAGCCCTTGGACTCTGTGTGAGACCAAACGACATTGCAGGTTTACTATTTCAAGGTAAAGGTTAAGTGAAACTCTAGAGTCAAATTGGTTCAAATATTAGTTCAAATGTAGTTTCACATTCTCTCACCTAAGAAGGCAAAAATCCATACAGATAACAGTGGAATATCAAGCAAAAACCCATAGCTTGTTCCTTTGCTTTCCAAACCGTTATCCAGAGATCCACCACTTAGTAGAACACACACCAGAGTATAGTCTGAGCAGATGTTCAAAGCTAACTGTCAATCCGTTTGCAGTTCAAAACAGTGGTGAACTACTCCAGCTGTTTTCCAGATCAAAAATATTATTGTCATTTTGCTATCGCTGCGTGCTGAGGGTTATGTAACAAAAATGCACATGTCCCTCTGCCTGGAATGCAATTAATTTCCTCCCTCCCCACTGAGAGTGGTAAGTAACAATTCAGACAGTCTGGATGCTTCAGTTTTGAGCATGGCCAGAGATGCAACCCTGGAACTGTTCCACGTGGTAACCCAGTATTTGTAACACGCCTCTTCTGGAGGTCTTACAGACAGGGTATATTTTTCAGTTTGGAAAAAAAATAAACACTATCGTCCTGTTTATACATGACCTCTTACTGTCTGTAGGGTCCTATGAACGCTTTCCTGTAGTTCTTTAGTTTAACCATAGCTTTTGCTTTATGTTGGAATTTTAAGTATTATACGTAAGCGCACTAACTAGATGAAGTAATCGCTTCTGATCTGAAATCAGCCACCATACTTGCCATATACTTTGGTACGCAAAAATAAGGCATTGTACACTATTAACTTTAATATAGTGGCATAAACCCATCTCAAGTTACAAATATCCAAACGCTATGCAGGTGGTTAAGTTCAGACTCCATAATGCTTAACCATTTCATGCAATTTGCTCATATGAAAAGAAAAACTGGAACTCTTTCAATTAGAACAGCGTACTCAAGAAACAAAACTAACTTCCGCAATGCAATCTTTTCTGCCATGTGCCTTTCATCTTTGTAAGTGCAGCTAACCCAGTGGTATTTATATATCAACCATAAGATCTTCAGGACATGAGCTGTCTTTCTATAAAATGTTTGCACCATACTTAACATCTCTCACTTGTTCCTGTGATATAAATACAATGGGGTGATCAGCCGTACCCGAGGGTGTCAACTGAGATGAAACATTAACTTAACACTTAACTGCAGCAATTTCCTTTAATGTGTTATTACTTGGTTCAGCTTGTTCTGGATTTCTGGCACGGTTTACAGCTTACTTTCTAGGGAGCACCTGCAGTGGTTTTACTATTCTTACCTGGTTAAATAGGCCAGAGCCAGCTCAGATCCCGACTGCTTTTTGGGTTCCACCTTTTTAGTAGAGATTCCAGCTTCCCTCATCAGCTGTTTTTCCTTCTTCTTGCGCTCTTTTTTTAATTTTCTTTCCAGTTTCCTCCTTTCCTCTGCGGTAAGTTCTTCCTCTTCTTTTGTCACCTGAAATAATCAACATTTAAATAAAGTGTTTATATTTCTATAGGAAAGTGAACAAAATATGCATAAATGCAATTGAAGGGTACAGGTAATATTTAAAACCAGAAGCTTCAAGCTTCATAATTTTACTGTTCACTATACTTCCATCACCTCTCTACTCTGCTCAATTCACAGAACTGTAAATACTGCACTTGCAGAAATCTGTAGAACTGCCCTCTGTAGATGATTATACTGCTCTCAGCAGTACAGTAATGTGAGCACCTTCGAGCTATGTATTAAACATCATATCTCAAATTTGTTGTGCTGTTTATTCTCCCATACTCAAACCTGAGGGGGGAATGTGAACAGCAGAGGCTGTTTCATAGTGTAGGGAGGGTATGGATTGTTTTTAGCATACACACATTTAAGTAGAAGTAGGGTTTCCTTAAGATTCTTAGCTTCTGGGGCTGTTTGTTGTGTAAACTCACACCTCCCCGGACAGAGAAAACCTCTGTCTGCCACACAGGGGCTTCACCTCCATTATGCCAAAGGAGATGTGACAACTACCATTTTCATCCAAGACCTCTTGGAGATCCTTTAGCAATCTTGGGTAAATATATGCACGATCTTCAATAAACATATACACATATATCCCACAAAAGTTAAAGTTGCTTTAGGTCTGCAGACAGAACAGTTAACTATTCACGTCTAAACCCATATTACGATAAATATATGCATAAGCACACCCCAAATGAAAGTATTTCACACACAGATGAAGAGCATTAAATAGATACACTGAGGTTATCAGGGAAAATCCAGTGTGAGATCACACAGTGTAGAAATAAAATGTTGTTCCATAGCAAGATGAGATTGACTCCAGGGACTCCTAGACATCTGAGAGAGGTTCATTCATAACTTTCCAGGCAATAGTCTCACCGAATTACTACGTATCAATTAGAAGCATAAAAACTGCAGCTGGTCTAATACTAGATGGCTGTTTATTCAATGCCCTCCCCAAGATTTCCCCGAGAGAGAGAGATTTACTCTTTACAGAACCCTAACTACTCTGATGATCATCATACATAGACCTTCACGAAACTGTAGATGAAGTAGTTTCTGGGTACCCAAACCCCTATGTACCTTGGGAAGCAGAAGGGATTTGGACACTATGAAGCCACCTCTTCTGTACAACCTCCCAGTAACAACTGAGCAATGAAAAAAGTATGAAATTCTGCAAACAAAACTCTGTATTGGTCTTGCTTTTAGATATTTCCAAGTCCAAGATTGAAGGGGTGGTGCTAATTCTTAGCTTATATGATAGTTACAGATCTCACACAGTCCCAAATAAAACTTAGATACCTTCATCGTGGTTTAAGGAACTGCTGCTTCTCAGCCACCTCCATGGGTCAGGCACTGAGATAAAATGCAGGCTAAAGGTATGCACAAGGACCATTTAAGTATCACCTTCTCTTCCAAGAACAGAAATCCAGTAGCAAAAATACTAGACGTATTAGCTCTTGTGATGAGCTCGGGGGTTTTAGCTCCTGTTTGCTGTGCTGTACTACTTCCCTACTATCATTTGGAGCCAAGTCAAAATTGCAAACATTGACACACTTCTGAATTACGGGCTCAGACTGGAATAGGTCGTCAGGCTCCCATTTTTTTAACTAACCCTATTTAGCACCTTCAGTCAAGACGGTTTAAACATCCTCCTCATGACATTTAATGAGAAGAGATGGGGCTGTGGACAATGCTGTGGAAATAGTGTTTGCAGTAAAGTGAAATGTGATAGAGATGCTGCCCAAGCAGTAATGATTTGTGACTGACTCCATTAATTAATCCACTTCCTCAGCCACAGTTGTACCGAATTTGTTAAGACAACCTGAGCAAGGAACAGACTCCTGCAAGGCCAGGCTATATTTATAAGAAGATGGGGTCTCTGGGTAGGGAAAACCCACCCACCGACAGCAGTGGAAATGGCACGGGTGTTAAGGTGGCCCAGGTGGACTTTGAAGCAGACTTCTGTATGACAAGGACAGAAAAACGGGAGGTTGCATGCATTTGTCGAGTTATTTAAATCCATAATTCTTCTGCTGAAAATAAATGAAGTACGCTTTCTGATGTTTCTGCCAAATCTGCATGCCCTCGGACACTTCAACTATAAGCTGACGAAGGTAGAGTATACAGAGACAAGGCAGTCCGGAGAGGCCACCCATGCCTATGGCAGCTGTATGAGCATCTCACATCCCAAGGCTGGGGAAGATAAAGGAGCCTAACCGCCACCAACATTCCCAGGAACGAGAATTACGTTCACAGAGCGGACTTGGTTCAGGTCCAGCAGCTTTACTATATAGCATCGTACTTGCCAGGTCAGGTCCTCTGCTAGAGCATCGGAAACTCACGGAGGCCAAACTGAGTGCAGAAGAAACGCCGTTCCTCCTCTCTCTGCTCCCTCCTGACCTGTCCAAGGAACCCATAACCGAAACCTGAATGCACAAGATCAACTGCTTTATGGAAAGAGTGGTTAAAACCGCTTTATAAACTCACAAATCCTTAGTGTTACATTAATTTGTGTTAGTGAAGTGCTTTCAAATGAAAATCCAGACATGGTGCTAAATAACATTATTCTTGCTGACATTCGAGCAAAGGATGGTTCAAGAAGACAATACCTGAGCACAATCTTATTTGCCAAAGATACCTGCTGAGGACTAAACATTTGTTCAGTGTCAATTCATGTATCATCTAAGTTTACTCTGACTCATCTTTTCAACTTGCTGTTTTCAAAGACCAAAAAAGGGCAAGAAAGCAGAAATTAGAATAAATGGGAGTGGGACAGTAAAGAGGATTTGCCTTTTTTGTTTAAAATATTTTTTAGCTACTTCTGTGGAAAAGCCAGCATTCATGTGCAAACACATGCAAAAAAGCAACATATGTTGCATTTGTATAGAAGACGTTTTATAACACATGCTGAGAATATAATAATATTTAGGGTGAAGGTAGGTACGTAATTGTTACACAGGAAACAACGTTTTCATTTGAAAAGCCACCCTGGTACTTACTAAAATAACAATCCAGCCACACAAAGCCCAGGAAAACACTGAGGGTGGTCATTTATAAAGTGTTTGTAAAAGATTACTACAGCAGCTGTCCAACAGACGACACACTACAGTTAATCTTCCTTTAAAAATAATGTAATGAATTTGTTTACTTTTCTGTGAGCCATGAAGCTTTCAAATAAAGTGACTGTAGCACATCATTAGAGCCGGTCTGATAAAGAGGCCTCTGCTTCTTCATACTTACAGTAAACGCGTATCTCTGTACTTTCCCTCCACCCCCACATTCCTCGCATTATAAAAAGCTTTTTATCCCCCTCCCCGGCTGCTCCATTAAAAACAAAACAAGTTGCTCCCTCCCTGTAGGTCCCAACGTAAATACCGAGCCCTAACAACGTTTGTTTCCAGCATCGCAGTTGATGCGCCGTCGGCTGTCTGAAACGAGGACTTTGTTCTCCCTGCAGGGCTGGGGCTGTCCCGGGCGTGAAAAAGTCAGGATTTACAGCTGGAGGTACCTTCTGCTAGTCCACAGCATCATTCAAGGAAAATCGGATTCATCAGGCTTCTGTTTGGGACTCCCAGCACACATACTGCGAAAGAGATCGCAACCTCACAGCTCAAACAACTCTTCTAGTTGGAACTCTACTTCTATCCATCCACGTCAACTTGATTAATCTAGTAGTACGCACCACCATCTGTCCTTGACTGGGCTTTAATTTGAAAGCCTCAAGTTTTATGTGCTTCATAAAATACCTACACTTGGTGGTATATTCGCCACTGAAGCTGAGGGTAATTTTATCGCAATGTAAAAAACCCCAACACAACCAAACCCAACCTTCCCCAAAACCTGGGACTCGAAAGAAAACAAAACCAAACCTTCCACTGGAATTTAAAGCCTAGCTGTATTTATTTTAACTCGGATGACCTTTGTTATGATACTTTACTGATGCATCTCTCCTTTCTTTAAATCAACAGCCTTATTTTTTAATTTCTCCTTCCCTGAACCATTAGTGTGACTGTGTTCCTGAAAGATGTGTCCAGAGTTTGTGAGCCATTTGGATTAAGAGTTTTAGTATTATGTCATTATTTAAATTAAAAAAAACCCCAACCAACAGGACTTCATTGTTTTGAGGTCATAAATATTCCACGTTGTCTCCTTCTATATTTATAAAGTGACATCACAATTTGTAGTGCTACAATTTAGTCTTAACTACAACATTGTAAAGTCCCTATTTGAGCATGTGAGACACTTGTTTATTGATGTGATAAATTTAAACCACATGCATACAGAAAAACACAACACTTGCTTATTTGCAAAGCCTGCTGAGAGCTGCCACACCACCTTGGATTGTGGGCTCATTAGATCTCAATCTAAACAAGGTCAGGCTAGGTCAGTACACTTGAATGAATGACATTCAGAGGAGAGCCAGTGTTTTCTCGTGATTAAGGAGGTGGGAGTCTTCTATTTGGAAACTCTCCAGAAGGCCTCAAAAGGTGCTAAAAGGCGTATTGCCACTGGATGCCACATTTGGAGTAAAAGACAGAACCCCAAGTCTTTAACACTTCTGCTCATAAAAACCCATGTCATCTTTGCAAGGGTATGGAGATGTGAGCTCAGACATCTTCCAGCAAATTCCCAAAGTTCACACCACACCATGTCCATCTGCGTGCGAAGCGCTGTGACTGCCCATACAGTGCCTTTCACCAATGCCAGGCTCTAAATTTCTGAATTGGACGTAAACATAGTAATATACTGTAAATAGTCTAAGACATCTGACTCAAAATATCCCGAGGCTTCAGCTGTGGCAGTTTTAGATACCAGTTAAAGTTTTCCACTATTATTTGTAATCTGGAAATACTGCACAAATTGTAACATTTTGTAAGTGATCTTTAGAAATGAGCTTACCCATCATAAAAGGGGAGCCATCTCAAACAGAAGTACAGCATTTAATAGTGTAAAGCAGTCCTGCT